GGTTGTATCTGTTTAGCTGCTAGATAAGAACAGTGTGATTTTGTTCATTCATTTTGCAAATGTTTATTTTGTTACTGCTGTAACCCAGGCCCTCTTCTAGCCCCTGAAATTATAGCTCTGTGTGAATAGAATAGACAAGGCTTGTCCCTAGTGACATTTATCTTTTAGTGGGGAAGCCATACAATAAGCATGATTAATATGCATGTTGATGCCTGTAATATAATGCTAGATAGGGGCAAGTACTTTTTCAAAAGGCTAAAAGGGGAAGTAGGAAGTGCTATTTTCTGTTTTAGAAAGAATTGTCTGAGAAGGCCTTTCTAAATAGACACTTGAATGGAGATACATGAGTTTGAAGTGGGGGCATTAGCCTTGCGACTGTCTGGAGGAATAGCCTTCCAATCAGAGGGATCAGTAAATGAGGAAGCTCTGAAGAAGTAGTGTACTTGGCCTGTTCAAGGGACAGCAAGGAGGCAGGTGTGTCTGGCGCTGGATGAACTGGGATAGGATAATAGGAGATGACCTTGGAGTAGTAGCCAGGGGTAGATCATGTAGAACCTTCAGACTTCATTCTATTATAAAATAAAGCCTTTGGATGGTTTCTAACAGGGGAATCAGTTGATCTTAAGTTTAAAGATTCACTCTATGCTGTATAGAGAACAGATTTTAGAAGTACAAGAAAGAAGGAAGCAGAGAGATTTCCTGCTTTATGGATTTCCTGGTAAGAGATGATAGTGTTAGTTAGTGATGGAGGTGGAAAGAAGCAGTCAGACTTGAGATTTATTACTTATTAATTTTTATAAGACAAGGTCTCATTTTGTTGCCTGGGCTAGAGTACAGTGGCATCAGGCTACTTCACAGCAACCTCAAACTTCTGGGCTCAGATGTCCTCTTTTTTTTTTTTTTGAGATAGAGTCTCACTGTGTTGCCCTTGGTTGAGTGTTGTGGCATCATAGCTCACAGCAACCTCAAACTCCTGGGCTCAAGTGATTCTCTTGCCTCAGCCTCCCTAGTAGCTTGGACTACAGGTGCCTGCCACAATGCCTGGCTATTTTTGTTGTTGTTGTTGTTTAGCAGGCCTGGGCTGCGTTTGGTGCCCTGCAGCATGTGGCTGGCACCCTACCCACTGAGCTACGGGTGCTGCTTCAAATGATCCTTCTTTTTCAGCCTCCTGAGTAGCTAGAACTACAGGCACCCACCACCACACTCAGTTAATTTTTCTATTTTTCTTTCTCTTTCTCTCTCTCT